AAAACGACGTTGGAGGCAGTTTATGGTAGAGAAATGAACATTCAATTCTCTGGCAACAGCTCTGGTGGACATTCCTGCAGTCAGCATGCCAATTGCACGCTCCCTCAAAGCTTGAGACATCTGTGGCATTGTGTTGTGTGACAAAACTGCACATTTTAGAGTGGCCTTTTATTGTCCCCAGCACAAGGTGCACCTGTGTAATGATCATGCTGTTTAATCAGCTTCTTGATATGCCACACCTGTCAGGTGGATGGATTATCTTGGCAAAGGAGAAATGCTCACTAACAGGGATGTAAACAAATTTGTGGCCACAATGTAAGAGAAATAAGCTTTTTGTGCGTATGGAACATTTCTGGGATCTTTTATTTCAGCTCATGAAACATGGGACCAACACTTTCAATGTTGCGTTTATATTTTTGTTCAGTGCAAATTGAAGAGTTACCACCCATGACTGAATTTGTTAGTGATAGAGACATGGTTGTTGCGTTCATCCATTTATGTATTTTTTTGCAATACAAAACATACACATACAAACGACAACATCACACAAACATCAAGTACATCACTGCCCAGACCCACGTGCTTACACCCTCATCTCCAGCGCCCGCATCACGCTCCACCACATGGCCTCAAACTGGACCATTTTGTTTCTCTCTGTCGCCCATGCACTTTGAACATTTAGATAATAAAGCATTTTACATTTTACCTGACGAGAAAAGTATCGTCCAACCCATTGGGTATCTCACTGTACCCTCATTTGCCATGTCTTGAAATATGCAGACAGACGGGTGAAAAATAAATGTACATTGTAACACTTCTGACTTGTAACTTTCTAACTCCGCCCATAACTTTCGGATTTCACAACATTCTCAGAAGGCATGCATTATTGAGTCATTGTTAGTTTTACACTTAAGACATGACTCTGCCGTTGTGCTGTAGAATTTGTGAATTTTGTCTCTTGTATAATATATTATATACATTAGTTTATACTGGATTAAGTGTACATTTTCGTTAACTGTAATTTCGTTGCTTTTGTTCCAACATTCCCTCCATCTTGTGCCAATATCAGTTATTTTTAGGTCTGGTTCTAATATTTTTTATTTTCTTTCTAAGAGATTGTCAGTTGGATAGGCTCTCTGCAAGGTTTTGTATAGCTTACCTATCATATACAGTGGGGGAAAAAAAGTATTTAGTCAGCCACCAATTGTGCAAGTTCTCCCACTTAAAAAGATGAGAGAGGCCTGTAATTTTCATCATAGGGACACGTCAACTATGACAGACAAATTGAGATTTTTTTTCCCAGAAAATCACATTGTAGGATTTTTTATGAATTTATTTGCAAATTATGGTGGAAAATAAGTATTTGGTCACCTACAAACAAGCATAATTTCTGGCTCTCACAGACCGGTAACTTCTTCTTTAAGAGGTTCCTCTGTCCTCCACTCGTTACCTGTATTAATGGCACCTTTTTGAACTTCTTATCAGTATAAAAGACACCTGTCCACAACCTCAAACAGTCACACTCCAAACTCCACTATGGCCAAGACCAAAGAGCTGTCAAAGGACACCAGAAACAAAATTGTAGACCTGCACCAGGCTGGGAAGACTGAATCTGCAATAGGTAAGTAGCTTGGTTTGAAGAAATCAACTGTGGGAGCAATTATTAGGAAATGGAAGACATACAAGACCACTGATAATCTCCCTTGATCTGGGGCTCCACGCAAGATCTCACCCCGTGGGGTCAAAATGATCACAAGAACGGTGAGCAAAAATCCCAGAACTACACGGGGGGATCTAGTGAATGACCTGCAGAGAGCTGGGACCAAAGTACCAAAGCCTACCATCAGTAACACACTACGCCGCCAGGGACTCAAATCCTGCAGTGCCAGACATATCCCCCTGCTTAAGCCAGTACATGTCCAGGCCCGTCTGAAGTTTGCTATAGTGCATTTGGATGATCCAGAAGAGGATTGGGAGAATGTCATATGGTCAGATGAAACCAAAATATAACTTTTTGGTAAAAACTCAACTCGTCGTGTTTGGAGGACAAAGAATGCTGAGTTGCATCCAAAGAACACCATACCTACTGTGAAGCATTGGGGTGGAAACATCATGCTTTGGGGCTGTTTTTCTGCAAAGGGACCAGGACGACTGATCCGTGTAAAGGAAAGAATGAATGGGGCCATGTATCGTGAGATTTTGAGTGAAAACCTCCTTCCATCAGCAAGGGCATTGAAGATGAAACGTGGCTGGGTCTTTCAGCATGACAATGATACCAAACACCCTGCCCGGGCAACGAAGGAGTGGCTTCGTAAGAAGCATTTCAAGGTCCTGGAGTGGCCTAGCCAGTCTCCAGATCTCAACCCCATAGAAAATCTTTGGAGGGAGTTGAAAGTCGGTGTTGCACAGCGACAGCCCCAAAACATCACTGCTCTAGAGGAGATCTGCATGGAGGAATGGGCCAAAATACCAGCAACAGTGTGTGAAAACCTTATGAAGAGTTACAGAAAATGTTTGACCTGTGTCATTGCCAACAAAGGGTATATAACAAAGTATTGAGAAACTTTTGTTATTGACCAAATACTTATTTTCCACCATAATTTGCAAATAAATTCATTAAAAATCCTACAATGTGATTTTCTGGAGAAAAAAAATCTCATTTTGTCTGTCATAGTTGACATACGTACCTATGATGAAAATTACAGGCCTCTCTCATCTTTTTAAGTGGGAGAACTTGCACAATTGGTGGCTGACTAAATACTTTTTTCCCCCACTGTAAATATCATTTTCTGACTAAAATAGGATTCCCTCAAGGTTGCTCTGATGTCCAAAAGATTTCAAAACGGAATTCCGTGGTATAAAACTGTTAAGTTGCATGTATTTGAAAATATCTACTTTGGTCAATTTCCCAGAGTGCCTTGCCTTTCGAGTAAATTGTAGAGTTACCACCCATGACTGAATTTGTTAGTGAAAGAGACATGCTTTTTGCGTTCATCCATTTTCAGTCATATACATTTCAGTAAGTGAGATCCTAAGCGAATATGTCATTGTAAAAAAATTGTATATATTTAAAGGTCATGAACAGTCAAAATCATGTTTTTCATGAAACTGGATGATATCTGAAGGAAACCAGATCAAGGTACAATGACGAAAGTATGACAAATGACTGTTGCTTCTTCAAACACTTTGATTCATTATTAAGGCCTCAAGGTGATATCACCTTAATGCTCATTTTATTACACTAATGGTAACGTGATATTATATTCTGAATGCAGGTTGCAGATGATAAAAAATTCTAACTGTTGGGTATCCTAACTCTGGCTGGATTCCAAAAGGAATTAACATCACTTTGGAAGCTAGCTTAATGTGACTTGCAGGTAGAGTTGTAAAATTACCGATGCTTGTTTGCAGAAAGCCTGGTTGGAAGTTTCCTGGAAACAGAAGCAGGAAATTGATACAAGCATCGGCACACTGCTTAGAAATAAACTGCTTAGTGATTTCGACGCATGCCTCGGAGCTCCGGTATCAAACGTAACATCACTAGGTACCACTACAGTGTCAAGAGTTTGTACCACTTTAGGAACAAATCTAAACCTTTTTTTCAGAAAGCATAATACAATGGCCTGAAAATCACAATTTACTTTACATTTACATTTTAGTCATTTAGCAGACGCTCTTATCCAGAGCAACTTACAGTTAGTGCATACATTATTTTTTATACCACCCGTGGGATTTACAGGCAACATCAGGCCTGCAAGTCACAGTATGCTGGCTTGCAAGGTGATGTGTAATTCCTATTGGAATCCAGCCAGTGTGGGGATAGCCAACTTCAGGAATTTTTCTTGTCACTCACAACCTGTATTCAGAATGACTGCCAGGGTTTGGAAGACTAAGCTATGAGACTACCTAAAAAATCTAAATCGGAACAACCATTTCATTAATGGCTGCAATAAGTCGAAGTAACATAATGGATTAGTTTCAATTTTCTTTGTAATTTATATTTTAGTAGCATAAGATTAATCAGTCAATCAATGTACATGCACAAAAATAGATATTGAAACAACCTGCAACACAGCATGCTGGGAAATATGATAATGATGGGCATGGTTTTGGTTCAAAGTGATGTATGCGTTTCTGGCCATTGTATTAGGGTAAAACTAGGCCCTCAAAATAAGGCTTTGTGAAATACATATGGTATTGTGTTAAAGAATTTATATTTTTAATAATAAAATATATTCATTGGACCGAAAATGGATGAATGCAACAACCATGTCTCTTTCACTAACAAATACAGTCATGGATGGTAACTTCAATTTACTAGAAAGGCAAGGCACTTGAATAATAAGGCTTTACACCAAGCAGTGTGTTAGTTTAACACTATTCCAGTGTCTATATGGGTCCACAGACTCAACACTTTACGTGTAGAATTAACACTCTCAGTGTTAATTTAATGTGGGTTTTTTTACACTGGAGAATTTGTGTAGCATTGTCCCAGATCTGTATGTGCTGCCTTGCCAACTCATATGGTCATTGTTTGGCATGACAACGGCCATAGGAGTTGGCAAGAACGCACAAACCGATATAGGACCAGGCTATTCCTATTGTTCTCTGACTGATCTGGTGTTTGTTTCCTGTAACCTAGGCTAGCTTATTCCCAGATCTATTTGTGTTGTATAGCCAACTACTACACCAACACAAACAGATATGGTATCAGGCTAACTGTATGTTATGGCTGTAACCTAATATTCCCCCTTCCGACAGATAATAACATTGACTCTGATTGGTGATAAATTATATACATTCCTTTGTGCTGATGTGTCTCTCAGGTTTGGCAGTGGCTTCACACTGAAGATGTACCTGGCAGTGTCTTCCTGTAAGGTGGAAGTTATTACCAACTTCATGCAGCACCACTTCACCACCACTTCCCCCAGCACGTTCCAAAAGCACAATCACACAGCTTTTTACGTATGGCACCTGATTGATGATTGATTGATTGACATGTGCCCTCCTGTCTCCTCCCAGGACCAGAACTCTTCCATGGTGGAAAGTAATGTGCCTGTGGCAGACATCTTTGACCAGCTGGAGTCCAACAAGGACACTTTGCAGATCAAGCACTTCTCTGTCAGACAGACTACCCTGGACGAGGAGAGATAGCGAGAGAGAGAGAGAGCGAGGGAGGATGGGAAGGAGCGAGGTGGAGGGAAAGAGAGAGACAGGGAGAAAGTGAGATATGGGGTGTCAGAAAAGTGAGACAGAGAGGGTGGGGGGAGTCTGGCGGAGACTTAAAAGGCCATTATGTTTTCATACTTCAGAAATCAAATCAAATTGTATTTGTGACATGCGCCGAATACAACAAGTGTAGACCATACAGTGAAATGCTTACTTACAAGCCCTTAACGAACAATGCAGTTTTAAGAAAGAATACCAAAAAAAATCACACAAAAAAATACAATACAATATAATAGGAAATAAAAGTAACAAATAATTAAAGAGCAGCAGTAAAAATAACAATAGCGGAGAATATATACAGGGGGTACCGGTACTGAGTCAATGTGCGGGGGCACCAGTTAGTTGAGGTAATTGAGGTAATATGTACATGTAGGTAGAGTTATTAAAGTGACTATGCATAGATAATAAACAGAGAGTAGCAGCAGCGTGAAAGGGGGGGGGGGGGGGGGGGGCAATGGTAATTGTCTGGGTCGCCATATGATTAGATGTTCAGGAGTCTTATGGCTTGGGGGTAGAAGCTGTTTAGAAGCCTCTTGGACCTAGACTTGGCGCTCCGGTACCGCTTGCCGTGCGGTAGCAGAGAGAACAGTCTATGACTAGGGTGGCTGGAGTCTTTGACAATTTTTAGGGCCTTCCTCTGACACCGCCTGGTATAAAGGTCCTGGATGGCCGAGCATTACATTTACATTTTACATTTTAGTCATTTAGCAGACGCTCTTAACCAGAGCGACTTACAGGAGCAATTAGGGTTAAGTGCCTTGCTCAAGGGCACATTAACGTCATTTAGCGGACGCTCTTAGCCAGAGCGACTCACAAATTGGTGCGTTCACCCTATAGCCAGTGGGATAACCACTTTACAATTTGGGGGGGGGGGGGGGGGGGGGGGGGGGGTTAGAAGGAATACTTTATCCTATCCCAGGTATTCCTTAAAGAGGTGGGGTTTCAAATGTCTCCGGAAGGTGGTGAGTGACTCCGCTGTCCTGGCGTCGTGAGGGAGCTTGTTCCACCATTGGGGTGCCAGAGCAGCGAACAGTTTTGACTGGGCTGAGCGGGAGCTGTGCTTCCGCAGAGGAAGGGGAGCCAGCAGGCCAGAGGTGGATGAACGCAATGTCCTCGTTTGGGTGTAGGGACTGATCAGAGCCTGAAGGTACAGAGGTGCCGTTCCCCTCACTGCTCCATAGGCAAGCACCATGGTCTTGTAGCGGATGCGAGCTTCAACTGGAAGCCAGTGGAGTGTGCGGAGGAGGGGGGTGACGTGAGAGAACTTGGGAAGGTTGAACACCAGACGGGCTGCGGCATTCTGGATGAGTTGTAGGGGTTTAATGGCACAGGCAGGGAGCCCAGCCAACAGCGAGTTGCAGTAGTCCAGACGGGAGATGACAAGTGCCTGGACCAGGACCTGCGCCGCTTCCTGTGTAAGGCAGGGTCGCACTCTCCGAATGTTGTAGAGCATGAACCTGCAGGAGCGGGTCACCGCCTTGATGTTGGCGGAGAACGACAGGGTGTTGTCCAGGGTCACGCCTAGGCTCTTCGCACTCTGGGAGGAGGACACAGCGGAGTTGTCAACCGTGATGGCGAGATCATGGAACGGGCAGTCCTTCCCCGGGAGGAAGAGCAGCTCCGTCTTGCCAGGGTTCAGCTTGAGGTGGTGATCCGTCATCCATACTGATATGTCTGCCAGACATGCAGAGATGCGATTCGCCACCTGGTTATCAGAAGGGGGAAAGGAGAAGATTAGTTGTGTATCGTCAGCGTAGCAATGATACGAGAGACCATGTGAGGATATGACAGAGCCAAGTGACTTGGTGTATAGGGAGAAAAGGAGAGGGCCCAGAACCGATCCCTGGGGGACACCAGTGGTGAGAGCACGTGGTGCGGAGACAGCTTCCCGCCACGCCACTTGGTAGGAGCGACCGGTCAGGTAGGACGCAATCCAGGAGTGAGCCGCGCCGGAGATGCCCATCTCGGAGAGGGTGGAGAGGAGGATCTGATGGTTCACAGTATCAAAGGCAGCAGACAGGTCTAGAAGGACAAGAGCAGAGGAGAGAGAGTTAGCTTTAGCAGTGCGGAGAGTCTCCGTGACACAGAGAAGAGCAGTCTCAGTTGAATGACCAGTCCTGAAACCTGATTGGTTTGGATCAAGAAGGTCATTCTGAGAGAGATAGCAAGAGAGTTGGCTAAAGACGGCACGCTCAATAGTTTTGGAAAGAAAAGAAAGAAGGGATACTGGTCTGTAGTTGTTGACATCAGTGGGGTCGAGTGTTGGTTTTTTGAGGAGGGGAGCAACTCTCGCTCTCTTGAAGACGGAAGGGACATGGCCAGCGGTCAAGGATGAGTTGATCAGCGAGGTGAGGTAGGGGAGAAGGTCACCGGAGATGGTCTGGAGAAGGGAGGAGGGGATGGGGTCAAGCGGGCAGGTTGTTGGGCGGCCTGCAGTCACAAGTCGCAGGATTTTATCTGGAGAGAGAGGGGAGAAAGAAGTCAAAGCATAGGGTAGGGCAGTGTGAGCAGGACCAGCAGTGTTATTAGACTTAACAAACGAGGATCGGATGTCGTCAACCTTCTTTTCAAAGTGGTTGACGAAGCAGTTGCCATACCAGGCAGTGATGTAACCAGTCAGGATGCTCTCGATGGTGCAGCTGTAGAAACTTTTGAGGATCTGAGGACCCATGCAAAATCTTTTCAGTCTCCTTAGGGGGAATAGGTTTTGTCGTGCCCTCTTCACGACTGTCTTGGTGTGCTTGGACCATGTTCGTTTGTTGGTGATGTGGACACCAAGGAACTTGAAGCTCTCAACCTGCTCCACGACAGCCCCGTCGATGAGAATGGGAGCGTGCTCGGTCCTCTTCTTTTTCCTGTAGTCCACAATCATGTCCTTTGTCTTGATCACGTTGAGGGAGAGGTTGTTGTCCTGGCACCACATGGCCAGGTCTCTGACCTCCTCCCTATAGGCTGTCTCGTCGTTGTCGGTGATCAGGCCGACAACTGTTGTGGCATCTGCAAACTTAATGATGGTGTTGGAGTCATGCCTGGCTATGCAGTCATGAGTGAACAGGCAGTACAGGAGGGGACTGAGCACGCACCCCTGAGGGGCCCCCATGTTGAGGATCAGTGTGGCGGATGTGTTGTTACCTACCCTTACCACCTGGGGGTGGCCTGTCAGGAAGTCCAGGATCCAGTTGCAGAGGGAGGTGTTTAGTCCCAGGGTCCTTAGCTTAGTGATGAGCTTTGAGGGCACTATGGTGTTGAACGCTGAGCTGTAGTCAATGAATAGCATTCTCACATAGGTGTTCCTTTTGTCCAGGGGTGAAAGGGTAGTGTGGAGCGCAATAGAGATTGCATCATCTGTGGATCTGTTGGGGCGGTATGCAAATTGGAGTGGGTCTAGGGTTTCTGGGATAATGGTGTTGATGTGAGCCATGACCAGCCTTTCAAAGCACTTCATGGCTACAGACGTGAGTGCTACGGGTCGGTAGTCATTTAGGCAGGTTACCTTAGTGTTCTTGGGCACAGGGACTATGGTGGTCTGCTGGAAACATGTTGGTATTACAGACTCCGACAGGGAGAGGTTGAAAATGTCAGTGAAGACACTTGCCAGTTGGTCAGCGCATGCTCTGAGTTTTAAGTATTGCTCCGGAGAAGATGGCTGCCGTTTTACAGCCCTCTAACCAATTGTACTATTATGTGTATTTTTTCGTGTTATTTGTAATTTATTCTGTACATAATGTTTCTGCCACCGTCTCTTATGGCCAATAAGAGCTTCTGGATATCAGGACAGCGATTACTCACCTCGTATTGGACAAAGATCTTTTCTTCAACGAGTCGGACGCAAAGGATATTCTACAGACACCCGACAAGGCCCAAATCCCTGTCATTCGCATGAGAAAGAGACAGAGATATCGTGGACGTAGGTCGGGGTGCCTTGTAAGGATCCGACGGCGAGCGAGTAAACTGCCTCTTCCATCAATCCTATTAGCCAATGTTCAATCATTAAAAAATAAATTGGATGACCTAAGATCAAGGTTATCCTACCAACGGGACATTAAAAACGGTAATATCTTATGTTTCACCGAGTCGTGGCTGAACGACGACATGGAAAACATACAGCTGGTGGGATATACGCTACATCGGCAGGATATAACGGCTGACTCCGCTAAGACAAGGGGTGGCGGTCTGTGTATTTGTAAACAACAGCTGGTGCATAAAATCTAAAACTAAGGAAGTCTCGAGGTTTTGCTCGCCTGAGGTAGAGTATCTCATGATAAGCTGTAGACCACACTATTTACCAAGAGAGTTTTCATCTATATTTTTAGTAGCTGTCTATTTACCACCACAAACCGATGCTGGCACTAAGATTGCACTCAATGAGCTGTATAAGGCCATAAGTAAACAGGAAAACGCTCATCCAGAGGCAGCGCTCCTAGTGGCCGGGGACTTTAATGCAGGCAAACTTAAATCTGTTCTACCTAACTTCTACCAGCATGTTAAATGTGCAACCAGAAGGAAAACAACTCTAGACCACCTTTACTCCACACACAGAGACGTGTACAAAGCTCTCCCTCGCCCTCCATTTGGCAAATCTGACCATAACTCAATCATCCTGATTCCTGATTATAAGCAAAAATGAAAGCATGGAACCGGAAGACAAGCTGACGGAGGCGCCGAGGCAGGTGGCGAACGCATCCCAGAATCTGGAGGAGAACTGAGGGCCCCAATCAGACACCACATCTTGGGGAAGGACATGGACCCAGAAAACGTGCTGCACCACATTTTTACATTTACATTTTAGTCATTTAGCAGACGCTCTTATCCAGAGCGACTTACAGGAGCAATTAGGGTTAAGTGCCTTGCTCAAGGGCACATCGACAGATTTTTCACCTAGTCACCACCAACTTAGCCGTCTCCCGGGCTCGACGGGAGTTTGGGAAGGGGAATGAAGTGGGCAGCCTTGGAGATAGGCAGGGGTCGGAGAAGCCCTGCTGCGGGCTGACGGGAGCTCTTCATGCGCGCGCACACCAGGCAAGCAGCCACGAAGGCGCATGTATCCACATCAGCAGACGGCCACCAGAACCTCCTATGCTGGAACTCCAACGTCCTGGCGACCCCCGGATGGCTGGTGAGGACGCGTGAGCCCACTAAAGCAGTCGCAAGTGCGCCGCCTTGGGTACGTACATCCTCCCCGATGGACCTCCGCCTGGATCGGGCTCCCGCCGTAGCGCTGCTCTGACCAAGCCTATCAATTCCCCACGAAACTGGGGCAGTAATAAGGGCATTGGGGACAATGGGGTCGTCCCTACCCACCAGGTCCACAGGGTCGAACTGCCGGGAGAGCGCGTCAGGCTTGGTGTTCTTTGATCCCGGACAGTATGAGATGGTGAACCGGAACCTGGTAAAGAACAACTCCCACCTGGCCTGGCGCGAGTTGAGCCTCTTGGCCCCCTGAATGTAGGCTGTTCTTGTGGTCAGTCCATACGATGAATGGATGGGCAGCCCCCTCTAGCCAATGTCTCCACTCCCCCAGGGCGAGATTGATTGCTAGCAGCTCACGGTTCCCCACGTCGTAATTCCGCTCCGCCGGGGACAGCCGACGGGAGAAAAACACGCAGGGGTGAGTCTTACCATCCGTGAGGAACCGCTGGGACAGGATTGCTCCCACTGCAACGTCTGAAGCATCCACCTCCACAATGAACGGCAGGGACGGATCAGGATGCCCGAGGACCGGGGCAATGTAAAGCGCCGCTTCAGCGCATCAAATGCGTTCCCCGCTTCCGGGGTCCAGGCGAAGGAGCATATGCTCGTCTGGGTGAGGGCTGTCAGGGGAGCTGCTAGGGAGCAAAAATTGCGAATAAATCGGCTATAAAAATTTGCAAACCCTAAAAATGTTGTAGTTGCTTGAGGGATGAGGGCTGGGGCCAATCCAGTACCGCGCTGACCTACTGCTGCTGGTGTTCACTCATGTCCTTCAAAAATATGAGGATGTCATCCAAATACATGAAGACGCTGTAGTCGAGGAGGACACGGATCACGTCATTGACCAATGCCTGGAACACCGCAGGCGTGTTGGCTAGACCAAACGGCATGACTTGGTACTCGTAATGTGTTAAACGCAGTCTTCCACTTGTCCCCCTCACGAATCCTCACCAGGTTGTACTCATTATGTAAGTCCAGCTTGCTAAAGACCTGGGCTCCCTGCAATGACTCGAATGCCGGTTCTTAACCGTGATGTCATTGAGCGCCCGGTTATCAATGCACGGCCACTGCCCACCGTCCTTTTTCCCCACGAAGAAGAAGCCTGCGCCCGCAGGTGAGGTAGAGGGATGGATGTGACCCTCAATGAGTGCCTCGTCGATATACTCCCTCATGGCCAGCGTCTCCGGCTGGGACAAGGAAAACAATAGCCCTAATGTGGACATGGCGCCCGGCAGGAGATCGATCGCGCAGTCATATGGCCTGTGAGGAGGAAGGCCCTTGGCACGCCTCTTACTAAACACCTCCCCCAGATCCCAATACTCCCGGGGAACACCTGCAAGGTATGGGCCGGTGACGGAGTCTGTAGCCGCAGTCCTCCGGGTGGCAACCGCTGCTAGGGCGGTAGGTGGTTCGGAGTGCGGGACCTTGGGAAGAGGTGAGGACTGGTAGGTGGTCTGGGCTGGTGAGTGGTTGGTGGAGACCGGAACGGGAGCGGAGCCTCCCTCCAGGATGAGCCGCCCTGTGGACCGGTCTATCCGGGGTTTGTGGGCGACCAGCCAGGGGTGCCCGAGGATGACGGGACACTCCGGAGAGTCCACAATGAAAAACTGGATACCCTCCCAGTGCCCCCCCGCCACCCGGACACACACGGGGACCTGGCGTCGGGTGATGAAGCCCGACCCAAACAGCCGACCGTCCAGGTCCATGACCGGAACCGGCTCGGAGAGAGAGAGTAACAGAACGCTCCACCCTTGGGCCAGCGCCGCGTCCATCCGGTTTCCCGCGGCCCCAGATTCCACCCATGCATGCGCCCAACGCGCAGCGCGGGCCCACTGAACCCTGACGGGGAGAAAAGTCCGGGAGTCTCTGGAGTTGGGGTTTCGGTTCCGGCTCGCTAGCACCCCTCCCGATACTAGCGAGCCCTCCCGTTTACCCGGCTTCTCCAGGCCGATAGGGGGACGCGGATGCACGCCTTGCGTCATGCCTCTCTCGTGCGCCCTCTCACAACGCCGTTTGTCTACCCACACCGAGAGGTCGACGAGGCCGTCCAGTCGCTCAGGCTGCTCCCTGAAGGAGAGTTTGTCCTTCATCCCCTCCGATAGCCCCTGAGCATAAAGGACGACCAGTGTGGCCTCCTCCCATCCTTCCTCTCGAGCCCGGGTCCGGAACTCCATGGGGTATTCCGCCACCGAACGGTCACCCTGCCGTCAGGCCGTGAGCCGCCTCCCGGCCTCGTGCCCCGACACCACCCGAGAGGTGTCAAACACCTTGCGTAGCTCCTGGTTGAATAGGTAGGAATCGGAGCACGCCGGAGTTTGGCCCTCGCGGTAGCCCAGGAAAGAGCCCGACCCATCAACAGAGTGATAATGTAGGCCACCCGGCCCTGCTCCATCGGGAAGGAGGAGGGTTGTAGGCTGAATATCAGGGAACACTGAGTGTGAAATTCCCTGTAGCCCTCTGGACGTCCGTCGTACCTCTCCGGAGGTGGTAGGCGGGGTTCCCGCGATGTCGCAGGCGAGACAGGAAACGCAGCTGCCGCAGCTTCCGCTCCGCCGGCTGCTGGGGCTGGTCGGGTGTCCACCCGGCTCTGCACGCCGATTGTCAGCTGGCGGAGATTCTCTGTGATCTGCTTCAGGCACTGGTCATGCTGGATCAGCACGGCTCCCTGTGTTGATACTGTGCTGCCTCCGCTGGGTCCATATTGGCTCAGTTTTCTGTAAGGGTTGGTGTGAGGTGTGACCCAGGTGCGGTGCAGGATAGACAGTAGGCAGTAGGTAGAGATGGCGAAACAAGGATCTTTACTGATCTTTACTGATGATCCCGAAGCCAGGATACAAAATAACGGACTTTACACAAAAAAGAAAGGCAGAGTAAATAAGACTCCAAAAAGCAGGCTGCCAGCCAAAATACGAAATAATAACTGTGACTGAAATAATAACTAAACAGGGAGAACACTTCTCATGTACCTGTGATCAGACACTGATCAGACACTGATTAGTGATTAAAAGTTTTTATTCAAAAATCCACACCATACATAATCGTACACATTACACACACCATTAATTCCCAACCCCAACATCACTAAAAATAACAATAAAAAACTACCCACCACAATATATATCAAACACCCACAAAACCGAACAATAACAGAAATTACACCCCAGGGGAGCACCTTCCCTCCCCATTTATACACAGCTAAAAAACACACACAAATCCTAAATCCCTACCCCTCTACACTAACCCTAACCCTAAACCCCCCTTCCACCTCTCCCGAGCAGCATGCTGCCCCCACTTCCTCTCCTCTCTCTTCATTCTCCCCCTCAAATTCTGCTCCACCCTCTCCTCACTATCCCCTCCACACCCCCTTCTCTCCCTGTCCTTTCCATTTTCTGCCTAGCTTCCCACAACCCCCATTTAAAGAGGGTTATGAGAAGCCAGAGCATAAACCTGTCCCTAACCATCCCCCTTGCTTTCCCTACACCTCTCTCTACCCTAGCCCAAGTCACAACAAAATCCCCCCTCACCCTGCCTATCAACACCTGTGCCCTAGCCCATACCACCCCGGCGATAGCACAGCCCCAAAAAACATGGCGCAATGTCTCCTCCCCGCCACAAGTTGGCCTTGGGCAGGTGGTCATGCCATGCCCGTACAAGATGGAAGGTACGGGCAAGCCCTTATGGAGGCTCAATCCGTCCTCCCACGCCATCTTCCGAAAAACTTAACGGAAGACTTAGCGTGATTGAGAACCGCTCCCGACGTGCGGGTGAATTTCCCAATGATGGCAAGGGACCTAGTCAGGCACGAGTCCTTGCATAGTAACAAGGAAGTGTGTCGTCGGCGTACTGCGTCATCTTAACGTGCAGCCCACCGCTCCCAGGGATAAGCAAGCCCTCCACCCCTGTGTCTGCCCTAATGGCAGCCCCCAGAGGCTCCATGTACAGAACGAAGAGGAATGCTGAGAGCGGGCACCCGTGCCTGACCCCCGACGCGAGGTCAAAAACGTCACCCATGTGACCGTTTACATTAACCCGGCACTCTGCTCTGACATATAAAGCACGGATCCACCCTATATACTTCTTCCCAAAACCTAACCTACCTAACACCCTGAAAAGAAAATATCTATTAACTCGATCAAAGGCTTTAGCCTGATCAAGTGCTGCTACCATTAATGGCAGCCCTCTATCCTCTACCCAAGTGATGGAGTCCCTAATCAAACTCAGGTTCCACCTAATAGAGCGGCCCTCTATCCCACACGTCTGAACCTCATGGACGACGTAGGGAAGGGCTGTGCGCAACCGGTCCGCTAGAACCTTCGCAAGCAGTTTATAATCTACACACAGCATGGTCAACGGCCACCAGTTGCCAAGGTCTGTTGCGTCCCTCTTCTTGTAAAGAAGTGACAGCACACCTACGGCCATTGATCCCCCCGGGACCACCGTCTCGAGGATGGCCTTCAAGACTTCAAGGACTACCGGACCAAGTTTCCCCCAATACTTCAGGTAAAACTCTGCCGGCAGCCCATCCATCCCGGGCACCTTCCCTTTTCCCATCCTCCTGAGGGCGCTCTCAACCTCTTCGAGGGAGATCTGAGCCTCCATCGCTTGTCTAATGTCCTCTGGCACTCGCCGGGACAGGTGTTCTAAAAACACGTTTCCCTGCTCTACATCTACTGCCCTTTCTTGAAAAAAACCTTGGAAATGTTCCGTGGTCACCTTGACTATTTCCTCAGTTTCTCTCACTACTCTACCGTTTTCTTCCCTAACCCCGTACATTACCTTCCTACTCTGTCTTCCCCTAACTGATTTAAAGAACATGGCGGAACAAGTCTCGTCGTGTTATAAAAACCCACTATGCGCACGCTCCAGGAAAGCGCAAGCCTTCCGCTCATGCACCTCCCTAAGTTGCGCCTTTAGGGCAGAGGATCTCTCCCAGTCTACCGACCCGCCGAGGTTGCCTGCCTCGAGTTCGAGCAGCCTTTGGATATGATTCACCTCCCTCCTTTCCTCCCTCTTTTTCCTCTTACAATATCCTATTATAAAAACCCTAATCCTCACCTTTGCTATTTCCCACCACTCTAACACCCCCTCACACATGGACCGGAGGCCCTCAAGCCCCCTAAAGAAATCAACAAAACCGTTAATGAAAGCCTGCTCATCCAGTACCTCCCGTTCTAACTTACAGTACCCCCTACCAAAGAGGCAGACTGGTGCCCCCACCTGCAGCAGCACCCCGTCGTGATACAAAATAAACCCAGGCAACAAACGCCCAGACAACTGACCCAGTGACCTGGATGGAAAAATATAGTCGAGCCTCCGCTCGACCCCTCTGGAGTTGCGCCATGTTGGACCTGCCATTGTCGGAGCAGTGTGCAGGCCCCCATCTACCAGACCATGGCACGCCATTAGCCCGGCGATGGCACCTGCACTACTGTCCCTCCCCCTCCCTATATCTATATTAAAATCCCCCCTATCACCAAGTGTCTATTTGTGGCACACAGCGGCGCCAGGCAGTCCACCATCTCCCTCCTGCCTGCCGCCAACTGTGGCCCATACACCCCAATTACCCTATATCTATCATCCCTTACTGTGACATCCACCCCCCAAAACCCTCCCCTGCATACCTACCAAAGTGCCCTCCACCTTCACCTCCCTATTCCCAAACAAAATCCTTACCCCCGATGAGTGCACCCCCCCTATACCCCAAACCAACTCTCCCTTGTCCAACTCTCTCTTAAACCTTATTACATCCCCACTATCCCTTAGGTGAACCTCCTGTATAAAACAAACATCAAAACCCACCCCCTCTAAATACCCCAAAACCACCCTTCTTTTAACATCCTCCCTTATTCCCCTCACATTTAAAGTAACAAAAATAATCCCTGCCATAATACATTTCACAAATTACAACCTACTAAACCCCAAAAAACAAAACAAAACAAAACAGGAGGCTCACCTGATGCTCCCCTGCTCCATCTCCTCCTGTAGGGACTCCGACTCCACCCCAGATGCCCCCCCACTCCCCTCCATCTCTCCAACCCAAGATGCAGGAATGGTGTTTGGCTCCTGGGTTCCCTGCAACCTGGGCTCACCACCATCCACCTCCAAAACCCAAATCTCAAAACAGGTTGGGAACAGTGCAGTGGATTCTGAGCCCTCCCCCCGCCCCCGTGCGTCAGGGGGGCCAGCAAGGACACAGGAGATTCTTCCCCCACAGCGCCCTTCTCCCCCATGACACGCTTGCCCCCCCCCCCTCTCCCCCACCACCCATTTCCCTCTTCCTGTCCAAGGATCTCCCCCTCCTCTTCCCTCTGTTCTTTGGAGACGCCGCCTCCTCCATCCCCCGCTCCTGCCCCTGCTCCCCCACCAGCTGCAGACGATCCACACTGGTGGCACTTCTTTGACTCGTCACAGTCCCTCGCCTCGTGTGCTTCAGACCCACACACCCTGCGTTTCTTCGCCCCACATGAGGCAAAATTATGGCCATAGGCCATGCATCGTCTTAAGAAAGGGGGCTGACGGGCATAAAACAATGACCCCTGTCAGCCCCCAGGGAGAACAGAGCTGGAGGATGAAGGTAACCTCCCAGGCCCTTTGGGTCTTCCCTCAACAGAGCCTGGAAGCTTCTCCTCCTGTTCCAGAACCCTAGCGAGTCTTTGAGGAGCCTTGCCGAGGAGACATTGTCCATATACCTCCCCATAAAAGCCCTCACCTCCTCATCCTTAACATGCGGGTTATACATGTTTACTGTTATTACCCTGAAGTTGTTCTTGGCCAACTTTGTCACATCGTAGTGGCACATCGGCCTGTCCTTCTCCACCTCCCTCGCCTTTTTCATGACCTCGTCATGCTTCCCCTCCGTGTGAAAAACCACATCATAAGCCCCTTCCAAGGGGTTCGCCTGGAGGCACATCACGTCCTTTACCGCCAGCTTTAACACTCCCATCAACAAAGTCCTCCCAAAGGTTTCCCTTCCAAAAGGCTCCATGTCCTTCTCCTTCCACGCAAACCTAACTGCGTTCGTGATCCCAATCCTGGGAATCGCCCTAAAATTCAAATGTTTTGCCATCTCCGCGAGGACAATAGCGCCCGCACCACTGCTCCGACTCTTCTCTATATTAGTTACGAACCATTTTTAACAATTTTAATTGATTTAAACATAGAATTGATTGAGCATAGAAAAACTAGCAGAGAAAACTGAGCAAGGGAACACAGGGAAGTGAGGGCATAGGTGAACAGGTAGAACAGGTGACAGCAATAGGATCATGATTAGTCCCGACTGTGAGTGAGGAGGTGCCTGAGGTTGTCAGAGGATGACACCTAGTGGGTTGTTCTGGAACTGCAACCCCCTCCTGTAACAGCCTCCCTACTGTTATTTTATTTTACTGCTGCTCTTTAATTATTTGCTATTTTAATTTTTTGCTTATCTGTTTTTTACTTAACACTTTTTTTATTTTCTTAAAAACTGCATTGTTGGTTAAGGGCTTGTAAGTAAGCATTTCACTGTAAGTAAGCATTTCACCTGTTGTATTCGGCACATGTGGCAAACACAATTTGATTTGATTTGATTGCACATCCTGGTAATCCGTCTGGCCCTGTGGCCTTGTGAATGTTGACCTGTTTAAAGGTCTTAGTCACATCGGCTATGGAGAGCGTGATCACACAGTCGTCCGAAACAGCTGATGCTCTCATGCATGTTTCAGTGTTACTTGCCTCGAAGCGAGCATAGAAGTAATTTAGCTCATCTGGTAGGCTAGTGTCACTGGGCAGCTCGCGGCTGTGCTTCCCCCCCCCCCCCCCCCCCCAAAAAAAGAAAATAAAAATAAATAAAATAAAAATTGTAAAGTGGTTATCCCACTGGCTATAAGGTGAATGCACCTATTTGTAAGTCGCTCTGGATAAGAGCGTCTGCTAAATGACGTAAATGTAAATGTAAATGTAGTCTGAAATAGTTTTCAAGCCCTGCCACATCCGACGAGCGTCGGAGCCGGTGTAGTACGATTCGATCTTAGTCCTGTATTGACGCTTTGCCTGTTTGATGGTTCGTCGGCGGGCATAGTGGAATTTCTTATCAGCTTCCGGGTTAGAGTCCCGCTCCTTGAAAGCGGCAGCTCTACCCTTTATCTCAGTGCGGATGTTGCCTGTAATCCATGGCTTCTGGTTGGGGTATCTACGTACAGTCACTTTGGGGACGACGTCATCGATGCACTTATTAATGAAGCCAGTGACTGATGTGGTGTACTCCTCAATGCCATCGGAAGAATCCTGGAACATATTCCAGTCTGTGCTAGCAAAACAGTCCTGTAGCTTAGCATCTGCTTCATCTGACCACTTTTTTATTGACCGAGTCACTGGTGCTTCCTGCTTTAGTTTTTGCTTGTAAGCAGGAATCAGGAGGATGGTATTATGGTCAGATTTGCCAAATGGAGGGCGAGGGAGAGCTTTGTATGCGTCTCTGTTTGTGGAGTAAAGGTTGTCTATAGTTTTTTTCTCCTCAGGTTGCACATTTAACATGCTGGTAGAAATGAGGTAAAACGGATTTAAGTTTGCCTGCATTAAAGTCCCCGGCCACTAGGAGGGCAGCCTCTGGATGTGCGATTTCCTGTTTGTTTATGGCCGTATACAGTTCCTTGAGTGCGGTTGTAGTATCTGAACAGTTTATAATTTTGGCTGACATTTGCAAATGGTGTGTTAGATGAACTTTACTCTGCCTTGCTGAAACATCTGGAAAGCATCACTATAGGGGCCCCCTGAAACAGAGGAGACTTGGATATGTGGAAGCCAGGGATTGGTCTATTCAAAACACCCATCTTATGTTACATAGGATATATACCAGGTTTTCAACAAAGGACGGGGAGAATAATAATATTTGAGATTGGGTTAGTTGTTCTCCAGACTCTGCAAAAGTCTGTAAATTGACGCTGAAATCTTTTGATATAATAAACCTTTATAATCAAAGTACAGTGTCAGCGGATTTCTTATCAACACAGCATATCAGCATCGTTGTTCGGCCACCACAGAAAATTGGCGACGAGGATTTTGGGACGTGTTGTGTCTGTTTCAACGTTCCATCATGGACTGCGAACTGACTCCCGCTCAAGAGGCCTGCAGATAAGGTGAGCTTTCTCACAACTTTGGGCGCTGGTCAGTTCGTGTGCCTGTGTGTGCGTTGGGGGATGCACCGTTATGAACTTGTGTGTGCGCCTTGCTGTTGTTTGCTGTGTGATGAGAATCCGTTCTAAATTTCTAAAGTTGTTTGCGTTGAAAACAACGCAAACAGGGGGGAGTGAGAATATAATACAGGATAAAAGTGTCTATAGGAATTGATAACACTGGGCCCAGGGAAATTTGGCTTGAATAGAATTAAAGGGGAAAAGGAATAGAATGAAGAAATAAGGAACAAGGAACTAAGGAAAAAAGTATACTGTTAGGACGTCGCTGATCTACGGAAGCCCTCAAATTAGGCGATCATTAGATGGGCCATAAATCCTGGAGAGTCACTAGGTTAATTTTCAGGTCAGTTCAAGGAACTGTGAGATTGTAGAATATACATTCAATTGTATGTTACCTCTCGGTATATAGTTGACGAGATATATGTCCGAAGTAGCCTCTCATTGAATATCTGCAACTCAAGGTAGCACAAATTTAGGAAGGACTATAAAGGAAATAGGAGCGACGGAAGTATGCGGTATGAATGGATGCATTCTTGTTGATTATGTGTGTGTGAGAGAAAGAGAGTGTGTGTTAATTACGGTTAAAACCTTATGAGTCTCCATTTGAGAGAATGTTTTCAAAAATGTGTTAAAAAACTATGAGCCCCCGGGAGGACGTTATGATTGTTTAGAGAGGATTTGTAATGGATACGAAAATGAGTATAAAATCTGCGGATTGGAGTAGAATGGGTGAAGAAAGCGGAGAGAGAAAATAGACTATAGTTACGTTAAAAAACTTCGAAGTAGGATTTGTGTTCTATGTTTTGTGTTCGTTTGTGCGTTTGGTTCAATGTTACTGTTTGTCTGTGTTGGAAAGAACGGAAGGACAGCTGGTCTGTCTGCTGTCTGACTTAGAGAAAAGTCACTTGCAGGAGAGCTCCTCTTACCTTGAAATCGCACTAGTAAATGAGCTGCGCATGTGTGGGATTTTATGAGTTTAGAGTTACACAGAGCAAATATGCCACTCCCCTGCCTGCACTGAGCTGCTGAGAGACACAGACTTAGAGCTGAACAAGAAAGGGGGTGTCACGATCGTTTACGGACGAGAAGGACCAAGGCGCAGCGTGATATGTATTCATATTTATTTCCGTACTGAACACATGACAAAACAACAAACGAAACGTGAAGTCCGAGGTAGACAAAATAACATACCTCACACGGAACAAGATCCCACACAGACTGGTGCCAAAAGACAACGAGCTACAGCTGCCTCTGATTGGGAACCACCCTGGCCAACATAGATCTAAACGATCTAGAAACTAAACATAGAAATAAACACAACACGAAATATACACACCCTGACTCAACAAATAACCGTCCCCTAAGTCAGGGCGTGACAGTACCCACCCCCCCCCCCCCCCCCCCCCCCCCCGGCGGATCCGGCTCCGGGTGTAACCACCACTTACTCTCCACCTCCCCGTTGCGCCCCTGGTCTGGTCTGGAACCGCTGACTGGAGCTGGATCAGGCACCGGTGGAGCGGACTGCTCTGTCTCCGGAGTGGAGCCGCTGACCGGGGCTGGACTGGACCCCGGTGGAGCGGATTGCTCTGGCTCCGGAGTGGAGCAGCTGACTGGTGCCGGACCAGGCACCAGTGGAACATGCACGGGCCGTGCCGGACTGGACAAACGCACCACTGGCTTGGTGCGGGGAGCAGGAACGGACCGGACCTGGCTGATGACGCGCACCCCTGGCTTGGTGCGGGGAGCAGGAACGGGCCGGACTGGGCTGACGACGCGCACCACTGGCCTGGTGCAGGGAGCAGGAACGGGCCGGACTGGGCTGACGACGCGCACCCCAGGCTTGGTGCGGGGAGCAGGAACGGGCCGGACTGGGCTGACGACGCGCACCACTGGCTTGGTGCGAGGAGCAGGAACGGACTGGGCTGACGACACGCACCACTGGCTTGGTGCGGGGAGCAGGAATGGGCCGGACTGGGCTGACGACGCGCACCACTGGCTTGGTGCGCGAATCAGGAACGGGCCGGACTGGACTGGCGACACGCACCACTTGATTAGTGCGAGGAGCGGGACTGGGTTCCCTCATTAACCCCCGCTCCTTCTGCTGCCTAACCAGCTCCTCTCGCCGTGCCTCTACACTTTCCTTCTGCTCCCTCTGCACCAATGACCCCCTTAATCTGGCGGCCTCCTCTGCTAAACGGCTGAACCGCTCTATCGTGGCCTCCTGCTGCCTCGTCGTCCACGGCGTGAGCCCCCCCCTAAATTTTTTTTGGGCTTGTCTCTCCCCCGTGATCATGGCCTCCATCCCTCTTGCCAGACTCTCGCTCATCTCCTCCCAAGTCCATCCTCTCTCCTCATCACGCTGCTTGATCCAGGATTGGTGGGATCTTGTTCCGTGTGAGGTATGTTATTTTGTCTACCTCGGACTTCACGTTTCGTTTGTTGTTTTGTCGTGTGTTCAGTACGGAAATAAATATGAATACATATCACGCTGCGCCTTGGTCCTTCTCATCCGTAAACGATCGTGACAGGGGAAGACTTTGAGTACACACAATAAAGTATTCTGTTTGTTAAGTGGCTGTTGCTTAACTATGAAACCATTTGATTGAGATCCATTGCATTTATTAATGAGAGCTATGTTGACGGATAAAAAATAAAATAAAATAAAAATAATTATTATTATTGCACTATTTATAATATTCCTGAGTTAAGCTGTTTGCTTATTTAGCGCGAATGTGAACATAGGTATGTCTAAAAGGGTATTGTATGGTTGAAATAACCCAGTGAGTGCATAAAATACTAAATTCTTGTCTGTTTCTTTTGTTCTCCTGTGATGTGAGAGATGAGAGGGAGGAGACAGAGAGAGAGGAGGTGCTGACCAGTGCGTCACACAACAGCG